AAAAATTCTGCAAGTCCTCAAGATGCTACCCCTACAGATTCAGCAAGTTCCAAAAACAAGTCAACCTCCAAAAATTCTGCAAGTCCTCAAGATGCTACCCCTACAGATTCAGCAAGTTCCAAAAACAAGTCAACCTCCAAAAATTCAGAAAGTCCTCAAATTCCAGCTCCTACAGATTCTCAAGGTTCTATCCCTACAAATTTAGCAAGTTCCAAAAACAAATCCTCCAAAAATTCAACAAGTCCTCAAGATCCAGCCCCCACAGGCTCTCAAGATCCAACCTCCACAGATTCAGTAAATTCTCAGGATCAAACCCACACAGATATTGCAGATTCTTCACCATCAACTCCCCCAATTTCCACGGATTCATCACTAAATTCCAACGATCATTTATCAAGTCCCACAGATAGTCCACCAACTTCTATTCCTACGGACTCACCATCAAGTAATGCAGATCCTCCAATGGGACCCACAGGTTCTATTCCTATGGACCCAGCAAGTCCAACTGGAGGCCCACAAATTAATCAGCTAGGTCCAACTGGAGGCCCACAAAATCAACCAAATCCAACTGGAGGCCCACAAAATCAACCAAATCCAACTGGAGGCCCACAAAATCAACAAAGTCCAACTGGAGGCCCACAAAATCAACCAAATCCAACTGGAGGCCCACAAAACCAACCAAATCCAACTGGAGGCCCACAAAATCATCCAAATCCAACTGGAGGCCCGCAAAATCAACCAAATCCAACTGGAGGCCCACAAAATCAACCAAGTCCTACAGATAAATTTTCAAATCAAAGTCCCACGGGTCAAAATTCCAACTCAGGTCCCACGGATAAAATTTCAGACTCGAGTCCCACGAATCAAGCTTCTAACCAAGGTCCCACGAATAAAATTTCAAACACAAATCCCACAGGTTATAATATTGTTTCTAACCCAAGTTCAACAGATCCTCCAAGTCCCACAGATCCAAGTTCTAAATCTAGCGCTGCTCCAGATAAATCCATTAATGACGCAACATCTACTCAATCAAGTCTCACAGATCCAAGTTCTAAATATAACGCTGCTCCAAATAAAGAATCCATTAGTGGCGCAACATATACTGCATCTACTACCATATATACATATACTCCTTTTAATCCCACTGCAGTTATTAAGTTGCCCTTGAGAACAAATACCCGGAAAAGTAATGATGCAATGCCCACGAATGATCCTTCTAATTATCCTTCTAAGATTGTAACTCCTGATTCAGCTAAAGCCGCTCCACGTAAGTTTTAAACAAATATATAGTCGATAAATACTTTATAAAAGAATTTATAGAATACTAATGATTTTATTTAATCTTATAGAGGATTCTTCTAAATTATTCCTGACATTGTCACCAGCTCTTTCATGGGAATCAGTAGTAAGAGATACAACCATTCCTGCCGCTATGACAGTTCAATTGACACAGGATATCGCAAAGGCACTTGGATGCTCACCTGATGATGTAAAAATTTTGAGCTTAGAACGTGGAGTTGATGATAATTGTATAGTGAATATTGCAATTCCCTCGAAATATACTGGTAATTTACAAGATCTTGTTAGTAATAAAGATAGTAGCTTATATCAACAGGGATCTGAATTTGCTAAACTAGTAGATAGTGTAGAAGATAATAGTGAGAATCCCAATGGTACTGATAATGGTAATAACGCGCAATCCCAATATATCACCAGCGCAGGGGGATTAAGTTCTAAATCAGCATTAGTTATAGTTGCAGTTTTTGGGTCTGCATTTTTATATGTAGGAGCAACAATACTGGCAGTTCGAGCTTATAAAAAACGCAAAGCACGTTCTGAAGCCAATACAATGGATGTATAACATAATTGGGAATAGATTATATGCATGCTAATATATATATAATTACACATTAAAAATGAAAATAATTAACATTTACTAATTTTTTAATGAGTAAAGTTAGAAAAAGATTAGATTTATTAGAAAGGACTTTCCTTATGGATCTTATATTTTGCATAAATTCTTTTTTTTTTTTTTACATGTACATTTTTTCCATTTTGATTAGGTATAACAACCTTTTAAAATTCAATATTTAATTTAGGTACAATCTTTAAGATCCACAACATTTAGTAATATAATACTTTCTTTTTTTTTTTTGAATTGGATTGTGTTTTTTTTTTTTATGGGATAGTTGTGGATCAACTTAATACAAAAAAAACAGATGATTGTAAATTATGAAATAATAATAGCAATATCTGTACATAGTTATTATATTGATAAGATAATTATGTACTGTAGTAGTAACTGTAATATGTAACAATAGCATTCTGACTTATAATAATAATATTTTTTTCTTGCATTTATTCATTAAATGTACTATTTTTTTTTTTTTTTCTCGCCAGTTTTTCGATTATTATCATATTATTAAGCGAGTTATATGGTTTTATTTTTCAGTATTAAATAAATAAACACTGCCAGTATATAAATATTATCATGGCAGTTGCTTAATAATATAGAAATTTATGAAAGAGTTGTTAACGCATCTTTTACAAAGCTATATTATTTTACATTATATATATATATATAAATATATATACTTATTAAAACTTTCTAATGAACAATCAATGTCATAAATACATTTATGAGTTATCTTATCTGAGACTAAAACTCTGTCAATTTAATGAATGTAAAGAATAATTTTGATTGGAGTCGGATTAAAAACATGGTATAAATTATTTGTTAAATAATATGATAGTTCTTTTCAGAGGTGACTAGCACACACTGTTTTGTAAGAGTGATTGCCTGCATAACTTATAAAACAATTATCATTTAGATAGAAAAAAGTAAATGAAAAAAAAAAAAAAAAAACAAAAAAAAACCCCAAAAGTAATGAATTAGAAAATACAGTTAATAATTAAAAATAATAAAGAAACCGTTATACCTTTTGAAACTAAAAAACTTCCTTTTCATTTTACTACAATCAAATCCTAAGAGTAAAATAGTTTCTAACATTATTTTATAAATTTTACATTAATTATAGGTAAATACAATCAGACACATCTAATCCTCTACCAAGAAAATACAAGAAAATATTACAGATAAAAAATACATATATATATATATATATTAATGTAGAAAAATCTTATTAATATGAATCTAAAGTTCACTAAATATGTATGAAACGATCACATTTTCCATTAATAATTATCAATCAGTGGTCGTTGATCTTTCATGTTGATCTAATATCCAGGCTGTAACAAATTCTGACTTTTCTCCATTCCTAGTTACTTTTTTTCCAGTTAATGCAGCATCCGGCATTGATACTACAATTTCTGGTAATACTGAATTACGATTAGCTGAAGAAAAACTGTATCGATCATTACGTTTTGTAGGCAATTTTCTTGAAATTTCTTGTGGTGGTTCGTTATCATTATATGATGGTGGAGGTGGTAAAAGAACTAAATCGTTTTTATCAAGTTGTTGATTATTTGTTTCACCTGAGACACTCCATATTCCGAATGAAAAATGTCGTTGTGATGGTGACACTTGTATAAAACTAAGATCAAAGGCATTCTCCGGATTCGTTGGTCCGTATAAAACCAAAACTGTACATAAAATCATTGAGCCCAATGACATTATGACAATCATAATGGACATAATCTTGGAAGCCCATTGAGTTTCTAAAATTACATTAAGATACAAAGACACCGCAATTGCTCCAAAACAATATAATAAAAATTTGAAGCAAAAAAAACCATTTATAAAATTCAACTAAAAAAAAAAATAAAACAATAATAACAATAATTAGTTTATGATATTTATAAAAATTAAAATATCATCAGGGAGAATTCTATCTTAATGAGGGTATCATACAATGATTTAATCATGTGACCACAATCATCGGTGACTTTAACTAAAATAGAATTCTTTAATATTTAGAAAATAAATTACCCTCGTTATAGAATTTCTCATCAGTCTTAACCGAGCATATTTACTAGAATCCATATCGGTGTCCATTAATAAAGCAATACTGGCTTCAGCGAATCCTTTAACTTTTCTCCCAAAATAAATAAAACAAAATGCTAATGAAGCGCTACCAGCAGCATAAACCATATAATGCACACTGCTCATACGCGCTTCAAGAACCATATTATTAAGATCCTGTTGCTGATATGGTTGTGGAGCCTGAGACCATTCAGACCGGAAATAGCCAGTGAGCAATGAAAGTGCAGCAAGTGATGGAAAAATAAGACCAGAATAAATACGAAAGAACCATATCATGGTTTTATGAGATGTTATAGTAATTTTAAATGATTTTTTTGAGTTGGACGTTTTTTGAAGCCCAGTACCCACAAATCTTGTGTGTGGAATGGCACTTAATCTTTTTATCAGTATAAATAAGATATAATAAGTTTACACTCGAATAAAGTAATGAGCCGATATTACACGTTAAACACTTACATGCCGATCATGAACAGAATTATTGAAACTTGATCACAATAATATGGTATATCATATAAAAGTTCTAATACAGCATCATCATTTGGTGGCAAACCAACAAGAATGATAATATCGCTTGTAATTCGAGCTAAAATAAAAATGAAAGATTAGAACATCTGTAAACCTAATAATAAAATAAGGTTTTAACTATTTATTAAACTTACTTAACGCATGTAGAACTTGCCATATTAGAAATCCATCAAGACTCGATACTCTTTGTGTAGATTTTATATAATAACGTCTTTTCCACCAAAGACCTCCGGCAATAATTGCTAATATGGAAGCGAGGGCTATTGAACAATAATTTACTATTTGATAAAAAAATTCATCTTCACATTTATGAATATTTATGTAAAAGCTAAAATTACATCGTTAACCGAATAGAATTTTATATATAATACGGGTTAAAAGAATAAGATAACCTATAAAAATTCAAGACACACATTCGTTATAAATACAGTATTACTCACCGACAGTACTGAGGAACCGAGGTAGGTTCTGTATCGAAAGTTTCCAGCATTGAGATTCGATCGCATTAGCTGTAACGAGCGAAACAACAAGCTTATTTTAAAATGTTATTGGCCTGCAACTAACGAAGAGCACTTTTTAATTTGCCCTTCTTCCTACTTCAATATCTTTTGTGATAGTATCGTATTTTTTTTTATTTTTTTTTTCTTTGAATTATTCAAAAAAAAAAAAAAACTTTTTCCTTGTCAACAACTTAACGAAGGTGGTTGGTGGTGAACATTAAAGAAAATCAAAGAATTCATAAGGAATGTCGACATACATGAATAACTCTAAATAAATTGTTTTTTCTGTGCTGCAACATAATAATATTGTGTTAGCTATATGTTACCGTTATCGTTATCTGTATTACATTCTTAAAACCACGTTTCTGTTGTGGCACATCAGAATCCCGATATGGATATTGACGTATTGACACGCTATGGTAGTGTATACCTGATACGGTATTTGATATAAAACATTTGATTCACAAATAGGTATAAAAAAAAATCATTTTTAATTATGGGAAGATTTTATGCAAAGATCTGTATAACCTGAGACAGGAGAACATTAAAAGTTCACAGAATGTGATCCTAGTTATGGAAATATCATCATCAAATCACGAATTTTTTACCACTTTAAAGGGGTCCTAAATTTAATTACTTAGGCCTGTAAGAATAGCCTGTAAATTGGATCCCAAATTTTATATACTAACGATAATAACATATATACGTACCAGTAATAATAATAATACTAATAATACTACAGTAATAATAATAATACTAATAATACTACAGTAATAATAATAAAATATAATAATTAATATAATAATTAATAATATAATAATTAATTAATATAATAAATAAATTCGGTTATTAGAATCCATGTTCTAGGTCGGGTTATGCATGCCTCAAATCTGAGAAATTAAATTTAACAATTGTTCAGATTTATTTGATTAATAAGGTAAATTATTGGTTTTTCATTCACACTACGTAGTATATATCTTTGTTACAACTAATTAATTCTTTAGATTCCTCCCTAAAATTTCTATATCATTACCAGAACTGAAGCATAGTTTTCACCATATAAAGTTAATTCAAGTATTATTAAAAAAATCCAATAATAAGCAATAGGTTTTGTGTAAAATTATGACTTTACATATGGTACTCGACCATAAGCATTATTTGGGATTCACTGAAAAATAATACATAGTCGATTCATTTTCCAGTTAAATTTTCTGACAGGAACAGGATTTTCATTGCCACATATTTACTAAATTCGTTTTTATCCAATATAATTAATTTAATAACGGTAAACTCAGTATTTCAATTACATGCAAAAATGGTTTAAAGCGTGTACAGCACAATCATGCATTTGCGTATATGTACGTACATACTGTACTAGAAACAAGAACCATTGAAGATCCAAATAAGAACCACAATGTGGGTTACTGTAATAAAATAAACCCAATTTATTAGAACAATAATATTTACGGCAGGCCCATATTATTTAAAACTTTTCAGATACTTTAAGGGGTTTTGATTACATCTTTCTACTTCAATTTTGGGCACTAAATCTCCCTAGCAAACAGTTTCATGGATGGCATTGAACGAATGAATGGTAGTTTTGTGAGTAATATCATACTAATAAAGGATTCTCTGACGACATCTGCACATTTGCATAAGATTTTCTCGAAAATCTTAACGTCAGCGAGACATGCTCTTATCTGCGCGTTATACAAGAAAATAGCCAATCAAGGAATTTTTCTTGGATCAACCCAACATAAAATTGACGCGTACAAAACGAAGAAATGCGAAAAAATTATATTAAATTAGTCTTGTTGTACTAATAAAAAATGATGGGAATGTAACTTTACGTAGAGAATAACTCAATCCTTAATTTGCGATAGATTTCCCTTTCTGGATTTGTCTCGCGTAAATCTTTTGTTGTGCAACATTTACCTAATTTACCTAATTTAAAATTAAATATGCTCGGAACTTGCCGTAGTAAACATAAAACTTGTAAAACCATCATAACATGCGTGATAAATTCCAACTGCTTTCTTGTGTTCCCCAAAGACAAAGCAAGAACTTCCTAATAATACTGTAATATATTCTTAAATATCATGTGATGAATAATTATGGTTTTGTATCGATATTATGCCGGAGTAGAGGATTTAGAAATCCTGTTTAAGAACTCCCTTTAATGTTAACTCATCCAGGGTGCATATGTACGTATATACATACGTACGTACGTATTAGAGTTTACAGCAATACAAACTTATTGTTTTTTATGGTCTTCAAGAATGCAATACCTTTATTATTTCGGCATCGCCGAATGCCGAAATGACTTTATTAAGAATTTCGTTTACACTGGAAAAATATTGTGCCATTTGCCTTAGTATTTTCAGGGGCGACGGTTTCGTCCGCGAGATCTTCACTTATCTAAGAGAGATTGAAGATTATATAATATACCAAATGCAGTATGATAATGCTGATCTGTCAATTATTTATCTACCTAAATTTTTTAAAATCCAATTAATATAAGTCTGAAGTAATTAACATCTGTAATATTAAGTGGAAGTTGCTGTTAACAAAGATTCTTTCCAAGAAGCGTTTTTAAGATGTTTCTCCAATCGAATTGTTATGAAATTCCACGTTTTGATTATATCAAGTTAAAGATAAAATCCACTATCTTAATCTTTATACTGTTTATAGTATATAAGATTTTTTTGTTACGTACGGTTTGTTTTTTTTATATAGTAATACAAATGATAATTTTTTTTTTATGCTACCACTGATAAGATATCAAATTTATGATAAAATTTTAAGAATGAATCGTTAATAGTTAAAGTTTATTACGTACTATTGCACTAATTTAAAAAAGATCTGGGTCTAAAGCAAAACAATCTGGGTATATTGTGTGGCAGATTTATGATAGGCTGTTTGAGATTTTAGGAAGAGCTGCTTATGATTAATAAAATTCCACCAGTTTACATTTGGTATTTTAACACAAGAGTATAAGAAAGCTTTTAATTATTGAGATACAGTAAACAAATAAACATTGATATCAAATTTTTTAAAGGAATTCATTTAGTAAATTATATTCAAAATTTTTTTGACAAACTTGCTTAAACCGTAAACTGCAGACTCGTATATCTATGGGTTGTACCCGTGGATATTCTGCGAATAAAAATTCATATTATATCTCGAAGAGTGGCTTCTTTATACTTTGAAGAATATCTAGCTGGTTAAAACATTTGAAGACTGAAAAAGTTGAATGAGAAACCTATAGCGGATATATCTCTAGTCTTTGTACAAGAGTCAGCAATTTACAAACAAACAAATAAAATAAAATAAAATTATATGCGTTAATTATAATGCAATACTAAGGTTAATTCTTTAAAAAAGAATTCACTCGAATACACAGGTCGAATTTTAAAATTTCTATAATACTTCTATGAGAGATTAGGGACTAATTAAGTCATTTGTGTTCGGATTTTTGAATATGAATTCGCACTACTTTAGGTACATTTTTTATACAATATACAAAATCGCATCGTTTTTTTTTAAATAGAACCGGTTTTTGTAATAACTTTTATCAAATGTTAATTTTTATTAAAAGTTAACGGAAGTTATTGCAAAACCGGCTCTATTATGTAAAGCTACTCTGGAACTACAGTTTACGATACGATCGATATTTCTGATAGCTAACCTATTTTTGGCACATATTTTCACATATAGGAAGGATATCAGTTCCGATAGGCTCATCAGATATCCAATATTTCTATCAAAAAGTATTGGATATCTGCTAATGTCTATCGGAGTTGATATTCGGTACATATCGGTGCCTGATATCTCTCAGAAATGTTATAGAAATTTTAAAATTCGACCTGTGATAGTAAATATAGTTAAAAAAAATTTTCAAATTTTGCAAAATTTGACTTGGCTATGCCTAATATTAAAAAAACTATTTTTTAAAATAAATTTATAAAATCTATTATTTATTAAAAAATTGGTATTTTATTATGGAGATATGCACAGGTCGAATGAAGGCAAATTAGGCTCCAATCAGCATCACGCAATCCCGATAGCTTTATAGGTAAATCGATAAAGCTAACTCATGCTTCTGTACTTTGAACTCTAAATTTATTTATTTATTTATTGTCAAAACTCTGTATAGTAAATAATCCTAATAAAATGTATTAAATTAGTTAGAGAGCTGACAGAAAGGAGCTTATATGTACCTCTGACCCCCCTTCATTATACCTCCTTTTACCCCCTATATTCTCTTTACTTTTTTTTACCTCTTTACCCTTCTTCTTGGGAGTAAAAGAAGTAAAGAGGGTAAAAGGGGTATAGAAGGAGTAAAATAGGATATAAAGAGAATGCGAAGAGAGGGAAGAAGGTGGGGTATATATAAGCTTTTTTTGTTAACTTCTTTATTATTATTATTTTTTTAACAGTCTTGTCTTTATTTATATAAACTGAACTTGCATATATCAGGCTTGCCAAAAAATTAATTTAAATTAATTTTTGCTATACATCATACAATTAAAATCAATTAAAATCATCATAAAATTAATTGAAACCCAATTAATAATAAAATAATTGCAATTAAATTCAATTTTTTTTCATTGGTGAAATATTTTTTAAACAGTAAAAAATCAAAAATCATTTTGTAGTAGTGAATATATAATATTATCTAATTACACCTTTTGACACCAATTTTGAACAAAATGACATTTAATTTCAGACAAAATGACATTTAATTTCAGACAAAATGACATTTAATTTCATACAAAATGACATTTAATTTTATACAAAATGACATTTAATTTCATACAAAGTGATATTTAAATTCATACAAAGTGTTATTTAAATTTATACAAATTGACATTCAAATTCATACAAGTTAACATTTAAATTTATATTTAAATTTATACAAATTAACATTTAAATTTATACAAGTTGATATTTAAATTCATACAAGTTAACATTTAAATT